ACAAAATGCCAAAAAAAAAGATTTCATCAGAGAGCTGAGAAAGAGGAGAAGAGTATGTGGCTGCATTTGAAAACTGACCTCTTTGCCCCACTCAGTCTTGTCCTCGTAACCACAACTTATAACATGAATAGCCTCCTTGAGAAGAGTAGCGGGATTGGTTGTTGGCGGAATGCCACCTTGTTCCATGAAGGTGGCTGCAATAAATACCGGCGACTGACCAAAACGCTTCTCTACGCTCTTTTGGGACATTAGAATAGACCTCTCATCATCATATCCTGCATAAACAAGAATTGTAAGCTTATAACATCACATGAAGAAGTGAAGTTATTACATTACAAGCTCAACTATCAAACCTTCAAAACCCTCCTCGATGTCTTCCATATTGAAAAGTGGAGCATTGGAGTCACTTCTGGTGATGCCTCTCCTTTTTTGATCATAGTTATACTTCTTGCTATTCTTTCCTTTCTTCCTCGAGCCGCAACAGCTCTTTACAATAATATTTGGTTCTAAATCTTCCTCCGTTAAAACAGGATCATATCCATATAGAGCTTGCCTATTGAAACAACAACCAGTACCCACATACACTGGCCCCTGGATACCATCTAACCCCTTCAAGTTAATCTGCCCAAGATAACAAATATCCAAGTCAGCCCACAGCAGAAACGAGTAAACCCAACAAAAGTATGAACAAACAAGAACCAAAGACAGTAGGTGTGAATGGAGAAAAACTCACATCAAAGAAGACAATATTCCTGTTGGCATATCGATCATGCAAATCAATACCGTCAAAACGTTGTGGGAACTGGACATAGCAGCACTTCTTTCCATAAGCAGGGTCCATCATAAAACACATAGCTTCTTTAATAGCCTTGCTGTTGTTGAAGTAATGATCACAATCCACGTTCAAAAGATATGCTCCATTGGTAAGAACAGCAGAAACACGGATCTGTCAATGTAAAGAGATACTAAATCAGGAGTGAACACATTTTCCTAGACTAAAGAATATGATTTTGAAAGGTAACAAACCAAGGCATTCATAGCTCCAGCCTTTTTGTGGTGTTGAAATCCAGGCCGCTTTTCACGAGAAACATAGATGAGCCTAGGCAGCTCATTTCCATCAGTATCCAAACCCCCACTATGGCCTAAGAACACCTGAAATTGAAACAAAATGATGTAGCATAAACACAATGCCCTGAAATGGTTGCCTTTGCGTTACTCTCTTAATCAAGGGATTGCGTCACTGTACCTGTATCATTCCAGGATGATCTCTAGTGTTGTTACCAGGCCAGGGAGTACCATCCTGCATTGTCCAACCTTCTTCAGGGATTTTCTGTGCTTTAGCAACAAGTGCATTGATCCTCACCTTAAACTCCTCATACTCTCTCTGTCAATACAAGTCAAGAAATTTTTTGAGTCAGTCTCTAGTTTTTCTAATGGATGAGAAGCAGATGGACTTTTCAAATGACCTTCATAGCTCGTCGCTCTTTAACAAAAGAAGGCTGGATCTTGTCCTTCAAGTAATCAATCTTCTGGGCAAAATAGAACTCAGGAGCCCTGGGTTCAATGTTGAATTTCTTGCAAAATGGTACCCATTTCTTTGCGAACTCAGCAGTTTCAGAAAGGGATTCAAACGTAAGCATAGCTGAACCATCATCTGAAACATAACAGGCTACTTTATCTACCGGGTAGTCCACAGCAAGAATCGAGAGAACTGTGTTTGCTGTTACAAGAGGAGGCTCTTTCAGTGGGTCCACTGTACTCACAAACACATCAACAGGAGTTAACTGTGATGGTTCACCGTCTCGATCGTATCTATAATAAGAAAACCAAAATGAAACCATGAGATAGAATCAGTACACTAACCTCTATTCTCAACAAACATTTCACTAGGCATGATTCTATCAGTCTCTGAAACTTCACATTTTCAGTAAATCACAGAAGGTATCTTTATACTGCATTTTAAGATTTACTATTTTTCACTTTTTCACAACCTTCTTAAAAGATATTGATATGAACCATCGTCTAAAATTAAATTAAATTTACAGGGGAAAGTTAACTATCGATTACTGTGGAAGAAGATATCAATATAGTACAAAAAAATGAGATTAGAAAAGGACGCATAAATTTAAATACCAACCTTATAGCAAGACGGTCAAGATAAGTCTCCCTGTTAATGGGGTACCATTTGGGAAACTGATCAAGAAGCCAAGAAAATGCAAACCAGATCTCACAAATAACCGAGGTCAACCACAATGGATATGCATTTTTCACAGGGTGAGTTGTTCGATATTGCAAGAAGAATGCCAAGATGATAAGCCGGAGAATAATCACAACACGATAAGGTGTCAGGCGAGAAGGCGGGATAGGCACTATACGACTCATAGGAAGACGTGTATCATCAGCCCTGTGAGCACAAGATCCATAATTAAGTGGAAGGAAACAAACAAAAATTACTCAAAACTTGAATAATTACGGCTATATGAATATAAAGCAGCTACTAAATTATGTCGATCAAGACATAATCGAAAACCAAGGCTGGTTTTCAGCATCATGGCAAAGAGATATTTGAGTTGGACAATCGCAACTCCAAATGCACATTGCAAAAATGCAATGAAACTTTGCATATGATAGTAACAAAGATATCGGGTCTAGTACTTCAACTTACATTTGGAGTTCTTCGCCATTGGAACCAGTCCCTTCAATTTCTCCTCCTTTCCCTTCATGGTATTTACCAGTCATCTGTAACATATTCTTCTCCTGCTTCAGCTTCCAGCCTTCAACCCTTTCTTTCCAGTCAACATTTCCAAGCCCATAAGAGTTCAAGTCTTTCGACGGGTCCACGATTCTTACAGGGACTGCAGAGTGAGGTATCAGTTATGGAACACAAAATATTGTGAAAACGAACAAGAATAACATCTAACAAATGCCATGTGCTCAAAGCAAAAACATATGAATACCAGGTTGCCGTGGGTCAATGTATGGAGATGAAAAAGCATTCCTGTCAGGTGGGCCCAAAGGACCTGATGTAGTTCGCACAGATTGTGTATCAGGCGTACGAATCTCCCCAGAAACCTGTGTATAGAAAAAAGTCAAGAATCTAAGGAAAGCAGACACATCTAACACCAGAAATTATTATTTTCAAATTTGGAAGATCATGTACCATCAGAAAACTTTACTGTTAAAAAAATGTCCAATCTAGAGACTTCTTGAGTAATATAAATCACTCAAGAGTCTAAAGCGAAAATGTAGGTTCTTACCGCATGGCCATGGGTGAGAAGAGGAATTGGTTGAGATTCATGTCTGGAGGACGAAGAAAACTCTTCACCATGGTGTGGGCGTCTCGCCTTGCTAGCTCCCTGGGCGTAATTGAACTCATTCTCGAT